TTTTGTTTTTTAAGACAGGGTCTGGAGCTTGCTGTGTAGAACAGGCTGACCTCATCACAGAGATCCACCTGCCTCTGTCTCCCAAGTGCTGGGATTAAAGGTGTATGACACCTTGTCCAACCTTGTTTTTTTTTAAAATATTGGTTGTAAGCCGGGTGTGGTGGCGCACACCTTTAGTCCCAGCACTTGGGAGGCAGGGGCAGGTGGATCTCTGTGAGTTCAAGGCCAGCCTGGTCTACATAGTGAGTTCCAGGACAGCTGGAGCTACAGGGAGACCCTGTCTCAAAAAGACCAAAAAAAAAAAAAAAGTGTTATTCCAAACACATTACAATTATACCAGGCGTGGTAGTCCCCTCCTGTAGTCCCAGCATTTGGGAGGCAGAGGCAGGCGGATCTTTGTGAGCTCAAGGCCAGCCTGGTCTACATAGTGAGTTCCAGGCCAGCTGGGGCTACAGGGAGACCCTGCCTCAAAAAAAGGGAAATGAAAAAAGTTTTAAAACTTTTAAAGTTTTAAAACTTTTAAAAACTTCTTTCATTCTTGCTTCTCAAAAACAGTTAGTATAGAACTTTAAACTTTTCTAAATGTTTGAGAAATACCTCCATTTTAGAAATAAATGACTTCTGAATAATTGTCACTGTTATTGTAAGCTGTCGTTAAACAGGTATTAGAATTGCTCATACACATTCACGTTAGTCTGGTGGTGATTTGGAGCCTTTTTAGAGCAGTTTTTCTTACTGTTAATAGTTTGCTGTGCTTTTCGATTTTTATATTCATGGAAAATAGACTAGATTTTTTTAGTATATATACTTTAAAACATGATTTTTTAAATTTATGTTTGTTTTCTGAGATGGAGTCTCATATGTATATCTGGCTGGCCTGGATCTCACAGAGATCCACCTGCCTCCGCCTCCTGAGTGCTAGAATTAAAGATGTGTGCCATCATACCTGGCCTAAAGCATGATTTTTGACTTCTTAGGCTCTCTGTAAAAATGACTACTTCTAACTGGGCATGGTGGTACAGGCCTTCAGTCCCAGCACTTGGAAGGCAGAGGCAGGTAGATCTTTATGCATTGAAGGCCAGCCTGGTCTATATAGTGAGACCTTGTCTCAAAACAAATTTTTAAAAATCTACTTCTAAGTCGGGCATGGTGGCACACACCTTTAATCCCAGCACTGGGGAGGCAGAGGCAGGCTGATCTCTGTGAATTCTAGGCCAGCCTGGTCTCCATAGTGAATCCAGGACAGCTGGGGCTACAGGGAGATCCTGTCTCAAAAAGACCAAAAAAAATCTACTTCCAGATACTGAAATACATTTCAGATAGTTAAATTTGCAGAAATAAAAGTAGTTGTTTTGAATTTGAATATTCCCACTTTCCCTCCAATTCAAACCTTTGTCTCCTACAAAACATGATGTATATTTTGTACCTATCTTTCAGTTCTTACCTCAAATGGAAGATTGTTAAATTCCAGTTTGCCTCAGAGTTTTGGTTCTGGTCCCTGCATAGCTCATATGTCCCATCTTTCCTTTGCCGTTCCCACTGCAGTCTGATCCTGACCTTCCAGCAGATGTACAGACGCCATCCTCTGCTGAGCTGGGCAGGTATCCAGGCCTGCCCTTCCCAGCCTCTCAGTACATCCCACCCCAGCCATCCATCGAGGAGGCACGCCAGACCATGCACTCCCTCTTGGACGATGCCTTCGCTCTTGTAGCCCCCAGCAGCCAGCCTACCAATGCCATGGGAGCAGGCCCTGGGATCCCAGTGCCTGAGAACAGTACTCCTTCCCGGGAAGAAAGGCGAGCCACGCAGTGGGGATCTTTCTACAGCCCAGCCCAGACCAACAACCCCTGCAGTGTAAGTACTGGCTTCATGAAATTCTCTGCTGGGCAAGGTGCTAGCGATTTGTCTCCTGTCACTTGCAGGATTCCAGCAAAACCCTGACTGCATTTGATAAGAGTTAAAGCTTGCTTGGTACATCTTAGTTTTTAACCTTCTGCTGCACTAATTCTTTTATGCATCCTTTTATGCAGCTCTGATGTTCGTGGAGGGAGTTTGTACAGGTGGAGTTCAGGGAAGCATCTTCCCAAGCTCCCTCATGGTGTCATGAAAGGCAGGTGGACTGTCAGGGCATACTCCCATTGATGTCCATCAGAGGAGCAGCTTAGAAAATGCTCAAATTGGGGCTGGAGAGATGGCTCAGTGGTTAAGAACACTGACTGTTCTTGCAGAAGACCTGAATTCGAATCCCAACACCCACATGGCAGCTAATGACTGTCCATAACTCCAGTTCCAGGGGATCCAACAGCCTCTTCTGCCCTCCGTGGGCATTGCACAACATGGATGCACTTAACCTACATGCAGACATAATACTCATACACATAAAATAAAAATAATAAATAAAATTTAAAAAAAAAAAGAAAGAAAATGCTCAAATTGTTTAACTTCTTATCTGCTCACCTGGTCCTGAGCTGGCCCTGAGGCTCCCACAGAGGCACTACAATGAGGCGAGGCCAACTATTTACAAATGTCAACTCCCCATCTTGGGAGCTGACAGTTCAGCCTTTCATCTGCCTTTGTTACCATTTATGCTTCTCATACTTAGCTTGTTCTTTCAAATTCTCCTTTGTGTGGGTGTATATGTGTGTGGGGGGGTTGTAGGTATGGGAGGGTGAGTGCATGTGTGTGTACATGGCATGTGGATCTTTCACTGGAACCTGAGGCTCATCAATTCAACTAGGTTAGCTAGCCTGTGAGCCCCAGGGATCCTCCTGTCTCTACCTCCCCAGCACAGGGAGTATAAGACTGCCATCACACATCTGCCTTTTGACATGGATACTGAAACTAGAACTCAGGTCCTCATGCTTATGCAGCAAACACTTTACCAACTGAACGATCTCCCCAGTCCCAGATCTCCTTTTTTTTTTTTTTTTTGGTCTTTTTGAGACAGGGTCTCCCTGTAGCCCCAGCTGACCTGGAACTCGCTATGTAGACCAGGCTGGCCTCAAACTCACAGAGATCTGCCTGCCTCTGCCTCTGCCTCCGGAGTGCTGGGATTAAAGGCGTGTGCCACCACGTCCGGCCCAGATCTCCTTTTTTTTAAAAAAAAAATTTATTTTATGTGTATGAGTGTTTTGCATAAATGTATTAAGTGTCCCTGTGTGTGCCGTGCCCATGGAGGCCAGAAGAAGGCATTTATTCCCCTGGAACTGGAGTTACATGTGGTTGTTAGCCATCATGTGGATGCTGGGAACTGAACCCAGGTCCTCTTCAAGAGCAGCCAGTGCTCTTAACTGCTGAGTCCCCTAATTCTCTTTCCTCAGACATGGAAGACAAGTTCAGTTCAGGGAAGTAACACTCACACTGCTGTCCACTAGTTTCAGATGAAATGATTGAAATAAAGGTTTATGGCCTGTTAGCTCTAAAAAGAAATTAATAGGTCACAATGTAAATTTATTGGTTGGGGAGCATTTATACTGGATTTTTTGTTGCTTCATTCAGGTGATATTGGGTCTCTGTTTGTCTGTCTATCTGTCTATATACATACACACACCAGTTTTTATGACTGTGGTAGTAGATTGTTTCCTTCAAAGCGAGAGAGGCAGAGCTCCTGCACTGCGGGTAGTGGCTACCTCATGAGGGAAATGCTATTCAATCTAATTATTACTGTTTTTGCTGTTAAAACATAGCTTTCCACCAGGAATGGTGGCGTATGCCTTTAATCCCAGCACTTGGGAGGCAGAGACAGGAAGATCTCCGTGAGTTCAAGGCTAGCCTGGTCTACATAGTGAGTTCTAGGCCACCTCAAAAAGACAAAAACAAACAAAGACATAGCTTTCTGAGCTGAGTGTGTGGCACATGCCTTTAATCTCAGGCGGGCTTCTCTAAGTTTGAGGCTAGCCTGGTCTACACAGTGGGATCCTGTGTCAGGAAAAAGTGAGAAAAAGAGAAAGAGATGCCAAAGATGCCGGCAGGTCGTAGAGAAGGGACCCTAATACAGTTGTGGACAGATACAGCCATGACCGGAAATAGTATGGAAGCTACTGAAGTACCACATGACCGGGAACCTGAGTGTGTGGCACATGCCTTTAATCTCAGGTGGGCTTCTCTAAGTTTGAGGCTAGCCTGGTCTACACAGTGGGATCCTGTGTCAGGAAAAAGTGAGAAAAAGAGAAAGAGATGCCAAAGATGCCGGCAGGTCATAGAGAAGGGACCCTAATACAGTTGTGGACAGATACAGCCATGACTGGAAATAGTATGGAAGCTACTGAAGTACCACATGACCGGGAAGTGGGAGAAATGAAGGATAGCACAACCGCTTCAAAGGGCTTGGCTCCCATAGCACACGGAGTAACTCCAAAAATGAGGAAACGGCATGACATGAAATTAAGAAGCTTAGGTAAAGGAAGCCACCAGCCGATGGGAAACCAGGGTGGGGAATAAAATGGCCAGTGGTACATCAGACAAGGGATTAGTATCTAGTGAGTCGATAAGAATCACTGCAAAGTTTAACACTAAAATCAAAACGAAAAAACATCATCCAGTGAATGATGTAATGAACTGAAAAATACAAATGGCTACTACCTATTTTTAAAAATATTCAGCATCCTTAGCCATCAGAGAAATGCAAATTAAAAGTGCTTTGAAATTCCATCTTGCCCCAGTCAGTATGACTGTCATCAGGAAAACAAATGCTTGTGAGGATCTGGGGAGAGAGGAACCCTTATTCTGCTGGTGGGAACGTAAACTGATAGAGCTCCTGTGGAGGGTCCTCAAGAAACTAAAAATGGAACTGCCATGTAGCTGAAGAACTGTAAGTTAGCATACCACAGAAATATCCGCACATCCGTGTTTATTGCTGCACTCTTCACAATAACTAGCAAGTGAAACCAGCCTAGATATCTGTCATCAGATGAATGGGTAAAGAAAATGTAGTACAGGGGCTGGAGAGATGGCTCAGTGGTTAAGAGCACTGGCTGCTCTCACAGAGGACCTGGGTTCTGTTCCCAGCACCCACATGGAGGCTAACAACTGTCTGTAACTCCAGTTCCAGGGGATCCTCTTCTGGCCTCCGTGAGCATTGCATGACACAAGTGCACGTATATACAAGCAGGCAATACACTCATACATATAAAATAAAAATAAATAGATGACTCAGCAGTTAAGAGTACTGACTGCTCTTGCAGAGGACCTGGGTTCAATTCCCGGCACCCACATGGCGGCTATGAACTGTTCTTAACTCCAGTTCCAGGGGACTCCGAAGCCCTCTTCTGATCTCCGTGGCATTGCAGGACACGGTTGCATTCACATACATGCAGGCAATACACTCACATACATAAAACAAAAATAACAAAATATTTTTAAAAATTAAAAAAAAGAATGTGTGGTATATATGCATAATGGAATTCAGCTGTAGAGTGAAATCGTGACATTTGTAGGAAAATGGACAGAATTAGAGATTATGTTAAGGAAATAAAGCCAGACTCAGATAAGTATCACATTTTCTCTCATATGTAGAATCTAGATTTAAACATATAATATATATTATATATAGGACCTGAAGGTAGGAAGGACTATGAGGGTCAGGGAGAAATTTCAAGGAGAGGAGGAGGAATGGAATGCATATGAGATTATCTGAGATTATCTGAGGAGAGGAAGGGCACCAGCAAGAGGGGACAAGGTGGTGAGGGGGACAAATAAGAATAAAGTATAAGCCAGGCATGGTGGCTTCTAACATGCCTTTAAACCCAGCCTTCAGGTGGCAGAGGCAGGTGGATCTCTGAGATCAAGGCCAGCCTGATCTACATAGGTAGTTCTAGGCCAGCCAGGGCTACATAGTAAGGCTATCTAAAACAAAGTATGATAATATACAAAGTATAATACTACATATATGTATATGTGTATGAAAATGCCATAATTAAATCCATTACTTTGTATGATAACTAAAAAATTATTAATAAAAGGGATTTTAACCCAATAAACTATGGGAAAGCTGTCTAAAGAAAAGAAAAAACAGTTTGGCAATTGCTTTCATTCTTTTCAGTGCCAGAGATCAAACCCAGGCTTTTACATATACTAGGCAAGTGCTCCGCCACTGAACTACATCCCTATCCTAAATGGATCTTTAAAAAACAAAACAAAACAGTGATGGGCATCGAGCACAGGACTCTGCCTGTGCTAGGCTTGCACACACTCTAGCACTGTGCTACTTTCCCACCCTGCAGTCTCTTAATAACTTAATGATGCACCAAACATGTAAACCATCCATTCAGTTGCCGAGCTCTTACCCAGAAAAAATGGAAGCATTTCTTTCCTGTTGAAAAGTTTGCATCGCAGCAACTTTATTTGTAGTTGACCCAAACTGGAAACAATTGAAATACTAATCAGTGAGTGAGTAACTAAATGTGGTGTGTCTGATGATGGCATATTACTCAAGAGTAGAGATGGATGAAATATTCATATACGCAAAGTGAGATTGGATCTCAAATCATTATGCCAAGAAGAAATGAGACCAAAGTAAGAGTACATGCTATGATTCCATATACATGCTAGAAAGTGTAAGCAAATCTATAGCGAGAAAACACATCAGTGGTCAGAAGAGAGGATGTGGACTGGCTGTGGGGGTTTGTAGAGGCACCGGAAAACTTAGAGGATGATGGATGTGGTCATTACCATTTTTCTCTCCCTCTTGCTCCTCACTCCTCCTCCCCCTTCTCCTCCCTCCCCTCCTCCTTTTCCCTCCCTCCCCTTCCCCTCTCTCTTCTGGGGATTGAACCCAGGACCTAGCTCCTGTTGAGCAAGCACTCTACCACTGAGCTACATGCACCCAGTACTGTGTTCTTCATCTTGATGGTCTG